GATGCTGCTGCCGAGGGAGAGCCAACTTTGGGGCACCAAGAACTGTGGGTTTTTGCTATTCTATTAAGAGCCAAGCCTCAGGGAAGGTTAAAAGGGGCTGTGGTAGGAGCCACACAACCACTCAGCCAGTGAACAAAATTTAAAAAATCTTTTTTTTAAAGAATTACTTTATTTAACATTATTTATTCATTTATTTTCATTTTAATTTGACCAGAGAGGGACAGAGGGGGAGAGAGAGAGAGAAAGTGAGCAAGCAAGGCGCCGCAGCTCTGGGACTCAAACCATGGTTGGCCTTGTGGGAGTCCAGCACCTTAACCACCACGTCACCTCCAGGCTCCAAAATTTTAAAAATCTTTTAAAGAAGAAAACTGCGATTGTGATCATGAAGCACTTATTAGGCTTCAAGGGGAGTTAATTCTTTTGGGAGCAGGCAGAAGGAATATATGCAGGACCATGAGAAAGAGACAGCACCCCCACAATGGGGCCTGGTCACACCTCAATCCTCCCCCCATCCCATTTCTCCATCCTGTCAGGATCCTGATTAGGCCCAGTTCTGGTGAATTTTTCAAGTCATTGGGGCTGGGATTCAAACTTTAGTCAGCCAAGTGGGACCTAGTATCCTTAGCACAACACTTTACCTTGGGCTACAGGTCTGGCCCTGAGATATGTGAATTCTTTTTATGTTTGTTTTAAGGGTTTTACCATAGGGTGCATGTGCTCACCAGAGAGAGACAGAGAGAGGGAAAGTAAGAAATCACCCCCTAGGGAGAATGGCTACACCACAATCCCTTCTCCAGTCTCCTCCTGGGATTTGGGGCATGTATGCACATGTACCTGGTGTGATTTTCAAGCCACCAGGCATGTGAACATTGTTTGGCCATGTGGAAGTCCAGTGCCTTAACCGCCTGCTAACTCCAAGAGATGTGAATTCTTTTTTTAGAAAAAGAATTATTTAGATGTGAATTCTATATGCACCTGCTAAGTTCTCTGCTCTTGTGAATTCAGATCCCTTGTCTACAGCCTAAGGAAGAAGGGGCAAGGATACTTCATGGAGCTTTTTGGCATAGCCAATAAAAATGACCGTGGGGCCCTTGCATGCTTCATGATAACACTCATGATAATACTCTGCCTGAGGCTACCTTTGCTTTGTTCTGTTCTTTAGGAACAGTTTTATCGTTTTGAGAAAAGTGTTATTCTTTTATTTATAGTTTCCATAAAGCAACTCAGACTCTGGTAATAAATGATAACTACTTGTGAAGAGACACAGTGAGGAGCATTTTAAGAGGCCAACTTTGATGCAATTGGATTCTGATTATTTTCCAGCCACACATTCAGGCCTGGAACTTCCTCAGCATTCTGTGCCTGGCAAACATTCCTGAGTAATTAAAATTTTTTTTTACTTTATTTATTTATGAGTGAGAGATAGAGATAGGGCAATACCACCAGTAGGGTCTCCACACTGTGATCCATTCCCGGTTTCAATTTTGATCACAGGCATATGTGTGTGCACCTGGAATGCTCAGGGAGGTCCCAGGATGTGAACCCAGGACCTTTCCCTGGTTTAGAGGTGAGAAAAAAATGCCCCAAGAATGGTCAGTATCTATTGCTAATGATCCTCACCCAGTGGACCCAATACTGGGATCACTGTCTGTGGACATTGTTAATATTGATATGTGTGTTCTTGTTGGCCAAATTGCTTTATGTTAATGTTAGATCCGAATGATTTTTTTTTTTTTGAGAGGTTTTCGCTATAGGGCGCGTGCGCTTGCCAGATAGAGAGAGACATAGAGACAGAAAGCGAGAAATCACCCTCCAGGGGGGATGGCCACGCTGCAATCCCTTCTCCTCCATTCTCCTCCTGGGATCGCGGGCACGCATGTACACGCTTCCGGCGTTAGTTTTAAGCCACCGGGTCCGGGATGCGAACCGCATTCGACTACGTGGGAGTCCAGCGACATAGCCAATATGCTAACTGCTGGTCCCCCGAATGATTTTTTTAAAAGATGTTTTTGCCTTAGGGCATATGCACTTGCCAGAGAGAGAGAGGCAGAGACAGTGAGAGGGAAAGTGAGAAATCACCCCCAGGGAGAATGGCCACGCCACAATCCCATCTCCTTCATTCCTGGATCTTGGGCACATACACACATGTGCCTGGCATGAGTTTCAAGCCACAGGGTCCAGTAGTCGGCCATGTGAAAGTCCAGCGACATAACTGTTATACCATCTGCTGGCCCCATGAATGACTTTTTTATTCCTACAAAAAAAATGGAGTTGAAATAGCACTTCACTTAGAACATGCGGAGAAGTGCCTTTAGTGAAGCTCCTGCAACTGCATCCCATGTGTAAAGTCAAGAGTTGACAGAAATAAATAACTTAAATTGTGGGAGTTGATGTTCTGCCCCCCAACCCCAAGTATGTCCTGCCTCTCTCTGGATATTGTCTCCTATTGAAAACTATGGATACTATACAAATGAATTTTATGTCTATTAATGAGGATGTAGTGAACAAATTCATTTTACCTTTGTATTGATGTATGACATATAAACAGTCAAATGTATATACTCTTTGTGTGTGTGTGCAAGACAGAGGGAAGGAAAGAAAGGGAGTTTCGTTTTGTCTTAATACAGGGTCTTGCTATGTCATGGTCTTCCTGTCTCAGCCTTCCAGCTGGTACTATCGGCATGAGCCACTATGTCCAGTCTACTGGGAATCAAACCTGAACCCTGGCAGCAGAGTGACAGCATCTTAGCAGCGCACACCACCACAGCTGGGCCAATTGCCTAGCTCTTGTAACTGCCACCACTGTAGCCCATGGGTGGGCCCCGTTTGCCCCTTCTTAACCAATACTCCCCATCCCCACCACAGTGAGTTACTATTCTGACTTCCGGGCCCACCAATACAATTTGCCGGAAGTGAACATTTGATGAAAATTCATTTTGCAGATATGAAAGATGTATGATAACACAAATGAAGTAAGGTTTGCTTCCCTTCCACAAGCCCCCTTTGGTATGTTATACATGCACCACGCTGAGAGGCACTTTATATTTTATTTATTTTATTTTATTTTAGGAGATTTTTGCTATAGGGTGTATGTGCTCGCCAGAAAGACAGAGAGAACCAGAGGGACAGAAAATGAGAAATCAACCCCCTCCCAGGAGGGATGTCCATGCCACAATCCCTTCTCCTCCATTCTCCTTTCAGGATTTTGGGCATGCACGCACATGCACTCACAGTGATTTTTAAGCTGCCAGGTCCAAGACTCGAACTGCAATAGACTATGTGGGAGTCCAGCAACATAACCATTACTCCATCTGCTGGTCCCACTGAAAGGTATTTTAAGTATCTACGGTACGTCCAGTATGCCAGGTGAAAACCATGGACAAATCTCTGAATTTCCTACTGTCTTTTAATTTGAGTAGGAAGACTCCCTCTTCTGTATCCTTCCTCTGGGGAGCCTCCAGGAAAAGGTAGACCCTGCAGCCTAGTTTTAGAAGAACCCAGTGAGTAGACAGGAGGGGGTGAGGGCCAGGGTGGACAGGTGGCATAGATAAAAGGACTCTAATGTGACATCATCTGCATATCTTTCAAGAACTTTCTTTGGGGCTGGCAGGTGGCTTGGTGGTTAAGAGTGCTGGACTCCCACATAGCTGACCACAGTTTGAGTCCTGGACCCAGTGGCTTGCTTTCTCACTTTCCCTCTCTCTCTCTCTCTCTCTCTCTCTTTCACTTTGTCCCTCTCTGGTCAAATTAAAATAAATAAATAAAGTTCAATAAAATAATTATTAAAAAAAAAAACTTTAAGTGTGCCACACTAGCTGTTCACGTACTGCAAATTAAATGGTCAGAATAATTTCCTCCAAAGTCTTTGCTCCCTCCCTTAGGGTGACGAGTGACAGTTGTCAAAATCTTCCCAAGATCAGTCAACAGAGGCCACGATCCAAAACCATAGCCACGAAGACAGGGGACACAAAACCTCTCAATAAGGAGCATCCGAAACAGGTCAGGATAACATCACTTGTCTTTGGTAATATCACACTTGGCTGAGATATAGCCCCAAGACAAAAGTCATATTTATATGTTTTTGAAGACCTGTGTTTTTAAAATTGTTGTGTGTAGTTTAAACTGAATTGTAGATTTTCAGTATGCCCTATTAAAACCACAGACAAATCCCTAGATTTCCTAATGTTTCTTAGTTTGAATGAGAAGATTCCTTCTCCCCCTCCCCACCCACCTTTTCCCTAATCTGAGTGCTGGATGGCCTTGGAGGTATGGAGATGGGGCCCAGTAAGAGCAGGAAGGCTGGTTGCTGTAGAGCTTAATCCTCACCGTCAAGATAACTGTAGGTCACAGGTCTTCTTGTCCCAAAGCATATTCTTGGGTTCCTAAGTGAAGGCCAAGGACAGTCTCAGGTATGGTCGCGTCTCTGTCTCCAGACTTTTCCAAAGCACACCTGGTTGGTTTCACTCCAGACCTCCACACCGGACTACCTGGGGTAAGAGAGGGACAGTAAGAAGAGAGCTCAGCAGGTGGGAGAAATCAAAAGCTCCGGACTCAGGAGGTTCATGTCCAAAACCTTATTATTTAAGACAAAACATTCTAGGTTTCAAAGGAAAGAGAACAAATGGAAACTGAGAAAAGGAATGGAAAGAATTAATTGTAACAATCCTGGTGGGATAGAAAGGAATGATCATAAAACTTATTTGGTCAAAAGAAATCACTCTTCCTCAAGGAGGTCCTTGGTCTTGGCCATTGAAACCTGGCTCAGCCCAACTCAGGAGGAAGGGAGGTGAAGGGGTTCAGGATGAATCCTCTAAGAGGAGGCTGGTTGACTTTGTTGTGTCTTCAAAACTCAGCCACCCACGACCACAGACACCTCTGGTCATATGAGAAGACAAGCTGATGAATGAAGATGGGTTGTGTCATTACTGTTTCCTTCACTGGAAAAGCTGCTTGAAGCTCATGGGCTGGCATCTTTTCTGTCTTCAGAAACAGATCCTTTCACATGACATAGGTGGATAGTTTATTCATTTTGGTGGGTCTGCACGAAGGTGGCCAGATTATACTTGGGCTTCCCCTGCTTACAGAATTGATATCCAGCCATTGATTTTGCATGATGGAAGAGGCTGTTATAATCAGCATCCCTCAGTTGCTACCCTCCTCTCACTGTCCCAACCTCTTATTGTCCTTCTCTTTCTTCAGGAGGTGGCCAATGACACTCACATGGAAAGTACTGACTTTGGTTTGAATATATCAAGAATCAACAGAAGCAGTAGAGAGGAAAACACCCACCCACAACGAGTAGGTGAAACATAACACCAAAAGAAGGGATTTTTGTTTTCTTTTGAAAAGTGAAAACCAGGGGACATCAGGTGGCATGGTGGCTAAGGCACTGGACTTCCATGTGGCCGATTGTGGTTCACACCCCAAACCTGGTGGTTTGCTTTCTCGTTATCTCTTTCTCTCTGTCTCTCTTAGGTCAAATGAAATAATTAATAGTAAGTAAAATGAAATTAATAATTCTTAAAAATTAAAAAGTGAAAACTGAAACATTATTTTTGTCAAACAGGAAAGTTGCAGTGTGTCGATGGAAAAAAATAACCAACTGTAAAATTAATAATTAATGCGGTTTATTTCCAAGCCAACTGTGAGTGACCTAGGCCTGGAGAAGAGGCATAAATGCCTTTTCTCAGGGTAATCATGTACAGAGGTTCTTTTTATTTGTTTTTGAGATTGACAGACAACATTTAGTGAAAAGATTTTTCATTGGTCTGGCCCAAAAAGGCAGGACATGTAGAAGGGGGGGGGGCTTGTAGGTTATAGGTGGGTTCCATAATTCTTAGGTTGGTGATTGGAAGGGAAGATCTGTGTCTCAGTTAAAGAAAGGCTTAATTTACATCTCAAGGAAAAGAGAAGTTCTGTGTCTTAAAGAAAGGCTTAATCTACATCTCAAGGAAAAGGGAAGTTCTGTGTCTTGGGAAGAGATAAGCACGAGAATATACTGTAATCAGTTGAAATATATACATCTCAAAGATACTATGCCAGGAACAGGAGGTAGGAAGAATTCTGTTAATAGAAAATAAATGGTCTGTTAATGTTTGTGGGCATGACTTCCCCAGTCCCCTTTTGAAAAGATTTTGGAAAATTAGGAAAAGTAGTCAGACTTCCATCCACAAGTGTCACAATCAAAGGCTGTCTGTGAGATAAACTGGGAAGAGCACTGGATGAGGGTCAGAAAATGGGTTCTGGGCCACAGGTGGAATGGAGGTTAAAGCAACTGGATCCCACAAGGCTGACTGTGGTTTGAGTCCTGGACCTAGCAGCTCGAAAATCATGCTGAGCACATTTGTGTGTGTGCCTGCAATGAGGAGGTGGCCTTTAGGTGGCGTAGTGGTTAGGGGTGCTGGATTCCAACATGGCAGACCGTTGTGTGGGTCCCAGACCTGGTGCCTTACTTTCTCACTTTCTCTTTCTCTCTCTCTCACTTTGGTATAAATAAATAAAGAAGTTAAATAAAATAATTCTTAAAAAAAAAAAAAAAAACAAGAGAAGAATGGAGAAGAAGGGACTGTGGCATGCCATCCCTTTTAGGGGGATGATTTCTCATTTTTTCTCTCGCCCTCTGCCCCAGAAAACACATGTATCCTGGGGGCAGGGATGGGGGAAGAAAATGGATTTAGGTGAATGGCTTAGAATTAACTGCCCCATCTCGAAGGAGCTGTTTCATCATTTATAAATTGAAGGGTTTGGAAGAGATTTGATGTTCCTTTTAGCTTAAAAGTTCTGTGATTAAAACGTTAAACATTGGGACATGGTGATTAAGGTGATTAAGGTAGCATGGTGATTAAGGTCCTAGATCCCACATGGTTGACTACATGGTTTGAGTCCTGCACCCAGTGGCTTGAAAAACATGCCAGGCACATGTGTGTGCATGTCCAAAATCCCAAGAGAAAATAGAGGAAAAGGGATTGCAGTGTAGTTATCCCCCATGGGATGATTTCTCACTTTTCCTCCTTCTCTGTTCTTCTCAGGCGAGCGCATGCACCCTAAGACAAAAATCTAATTAAAAAAAAAAAAGCTAAATATTGACTTGACCATCCTGCATCATTCGGTGGGTGTGGTAGCCTTATATTCCTTTTTACCATGAACTTACTGAAGTTCCCTCATATTTTCCTCTTGATTTCTTCAGGGTTGGAGCTTTTTAAGAGTCTTCTTCCATTAAGTTCTCAAACTGTGGGACTTATGAGCCAGCTCTTGCCAGGCCAACTGAATTCTGTGTGTGTGTGTGTGTGTGTGTGTAGAGGTGACTGGGAACATCTCCCTAGAAACCAAGGGGATTGCCTCACTGGCTCAGCTGGCTTGTGTTAAAGGCCTCAGCTATGTGGGTAATTGCTGGAAATGAGGGACTATTCTAATCAATGCCTTTGATACTTCAATGCTCCTTGAAGGGGAGCTTCAATGTTTTTGTGGTGTTTTCAGTCACCTTTTTTTGCCTAGCAATTTTGTGGCATTAATTTCCCTAGTGAATGCCTTGGATTGATATGAATGGGTGTTTCTTAGTGGGTGGCAAGGAAGGGACGTTTTATCCCAGCACTTAACCTTTGAAATAGTCTGGCTATAAATTCCTTTTCCAACAGAAATGTCCTCAGGGTAAAATGTAGATGGTTTTCTCACTAGCATTTCAAAAGTTCACAGGTTGGGTGTGGGTGTGTGGGTGTATGGCCAGGGGCCATCTTCAAGCTGTGTCTATTATTGCTGTATTAGAGACCTTAGCTTCAGGAGTCCTAAACACCCCTCATAAATTTAGGAGGTACATTGTTCTTAAGGGCATGGATTTTGAAATTAGCTTACCTAGGGTCAAACCCTGGCTCAAATACTACCCAGCTGTGTAACTTTGGGTAAATTATTTATAATCTCTCCAAACTTCATTTCTTGCGTCTGTAAAATGGAAGTAATGATAGTTCCCACTCCAAATATCATAATGAGGACCAGCCCCTCAGTATAGAGGTTAATCACAATGCACAGGGAGCTGTATCCCTCATGTCCCACTGTGGTTCAAGTCCAGCCCAGTGGCTTGAAAAACATGCCAGGTGCATATATGTGCTCCTGAGGATAGAGTTTACTTACTTTTTTTAAAGTTTATTTATTTCTTCAATGAGTAAGAGAGGCAGAGAAGAGAGAAAGAGATAAGCACTCCCAACAAAGTCTCCCGTCCTCCTTTTATTAGAGTTTATTTCTTCCTCGAGTGAGCGAGCGAGACAGAGAGAGGACCCCTGACAAGGTCTGGATGCAGCAATCCAACTCCAGTCGCACCCAACCGCAGACTGTGGCCATGTACATGCCCAGTGTACTCAGGGAGGCCTCTGGATGTGAATCCAGAACTTCCCAATGTGGGCCAGCCTCACAGAGTGCCGTGCTTTACTGCTGTGTGCCATCAGCTCCATTTCTCATTTTTGTTCTTGTTGTTATATGATATATACACTTTCCAGAGAGAGAGAGAGAGGGAGAGAGGAAGAGAGAGGAAAAGTGAGAAATGACCCTCCAAGAAGGATGGCCACACTGCAATCCCTTCTCCATTCTTCTCTCTGGATTTTGAGAACACACACACACACACACACACACACACACGCACACACACCTGAGATGTTTTTCAAGACACCCAGTCCAGGACTTGAACCAGGTCATCGGCTATGTGGGATCCAGCTTCTTAACCTCCATGTCACCTGCTGGCCTGCTCCACTCTCAGGTTTTCATGGCATAAATAACCATTGCTCCCTTTCAGGGTCAAATCATTGACTTCCGAGGGCTGCTCACAGATGCTATTAAAGGAGCAACCAGCGAACTTGCCTTGAACACCTTCAACTGTAACCCAGACCCCTCGGTAAGTGGCTAAGATGTGAAATTCTTTTTTGAAGTGCCAAAATCCAGATGAACTGTAGAAATATCATTTTGAGTACAATGAAACCAAGATCAAGTCAAAGTTCATAGCTACCTGTACCCTTCGTTTCAATGAGCTCTGTGCCCTGTTTTCTTGCTTCAATTATGAAGCAATATTGTAAACAGAGCCTTTCTGTTCCTATTGTCAGGAACGATTGCTGAAACCTCTGAGTGCATTTATTGGCATGAACAGTGAGATGCGAGAATTGGCAGCCGTGGTGAGCCGGGTAAGATCTGATATTCAATTCACAAATTTACGGAGGTGGATTGGGGCTCCTAGAGCATTGTGGGCTGCTTCTTTTATTAATAACAATAAATATGATCATTTATTTATAAAGCGCCCCTACTCGCGAAGGCACTCATATTGTTTAGAGGCACAATAATGCATGATAAATAAATTATAGAATCATAAAATTACAATATAAAAAGCCCACCATCTCAGTAAAGAGGCCAAGAAAACCAAAAGAGAAAAAGACTTAGAAAGGAAGGGACAGGTGAAAGGTTTTATAGCTGAGCAGAGAGTCAAGGAAAGAAAGCCTCTTGGAGAAGGAAAGAGTATGGCTGGATCTTGTTTAAGAAAATAGAAGCCTAGAAATAGAGATGTTGGGAATCTGACAACCTCATAATTGAACATTCTCATGAAAAACAAGATTAGTACGAAAGAGCTTACCATATAGACTACTGAGTTTTCAAGGTTGCACCCTAGAATCTAAAGGCAGTGAAGTTTAATGGTTAGTGACACAAGCTTTGCAGTCAGTTGACCTGTGTTTGATTTCTAGACCTTTCTCTTTCTAGCTTTGTGACTTTGGGCAAGTTCCTTGGAAAGAGAATGGATTCCTGGGTTCTGGGATACTTTTCTATTTTCCAATGATCTTCTATTTAATTGAAGACTGAAACCTGGACAGGGACAGTGAGATGTTTAAAATGATCAGCTACTCTGAGTAACTAAGAGTTCTTTGCTGTCTCCGTTCAGCTCAACAGTTGTTTCCTGCATCCTCACCACACAACAAGCATGTATTGAGGGTTGGAAACACCAAGGTGATGGGTTCTTGCCTATAACAGTTTCTTGTCCCATGGGCAAGATGCACTTCGAGATCATAAAGGGAGGAGGGCATTTTGACCGAAAGATGGGGAAAGCCTTAGGAAAGAAGATACACGGGAAATAGCTATGTGAAAAACAGTGGAAGAAGGAGGGTGGGGGCTTTTCAGGGTAGAGGCAAATTCATGTGAAATTATGTGGCTTGTGCGTGTTCCTGATGAGCCAAGTGAGAAGTAGGGAGTGAAAAAAATGGGTTTGGAGATAGAAGCAAGATTCCTGAAGAAGAATGTCTCGAGGAGTACCCAGGTCTGAGAATTGGAGACAGGGAACCTTCAAAAGGCATCCTTTAGGGGGATGGGATAATTAAATGTTCTTGTAGATAGCTTGTTCTTGTGACAGTGAGGTGGGTGGAGAGCAAAGACAATGGAGTTGGGGACCAATATGGGGTTTTTACCAGTGAGAGGGGATGAGGGATTGAGCCAGGCTGTGGTCACTGGGATGTGTAAGAGAGTAGAGTGAAACATTTTTTTATACCCACAAAAATCAATAGTCTCGTTTCAGTTTTTCCCCCCAAAGGATAACATGACTAGTGAGGTGAGAATTGTAGAGTGGAAGTGGCTGAAATGATCCCATCTGGAATCCTTAATAACTTACCGTGGGAGGTAGTCATCCAGCCCCTGCTTGAATGCTCATAGTGATGGAGAACTCACCACCTTCTGAGGCAGGCCTGTTGAGTTCTGATTGCTAACATTGGATTGAGATGAGGAGGAACTTTCTGCTGGGAAACTAAGCACTACCTTGTGAAGTCAGTGTCACCTCTAGAAAAGGGCAAGAAATACTGCTATTATTTATGGATGCCCTGAATTCCAGGAGAGAGGAATCCTCATTGGGTGCCAAGACTCTCCTAAGAAAACGGTCAGAATAAGAATTTGAGTGGGTAGTAGCTCAGCCCCTAGATCTGGGCTCTAAAGACAGGGTGAGTTCTCCAGAGATCTTGGAAGGCTGAGTCCTTTCTCTGTCATCCCATCCGACATGGATTCTGCATGTTATGCTCAGCCCAAATCCCTTGTGTAGACAATTTCTGGGATAAAATGGAAACTCCTACAGTGGAGGGAACTGGACAGATGGGGTACAGGAGAGGGAGCAAGTGTCTTGTTAGTTGTTTTTAGAATTATTTATTTAATTTTTTTTGAGAGGTTTTTCGCTATAGGGCGCGTGTGCTCGCCAGACAGACAGAGACATAGAGACAGAAAGCGAGAAATCACCCCCCAGGGGGGATGGTCACGCTGCAATCCCTTCTCCTCCATTCTCCTCCTGGGATCTCGGGCATGCACGCACATGCGCCCGGCGTGAGTTTTAAGCCACCGGGTCCAGGACGCAAACCGCGGTCGACCATGTGGGAGTCCAGCGACATAGCCATTATGCTAACTACTGGTTCCCTTATTTATTTAATTTCATTAGTTATTATTAAATTTGCTTTAGGGCAAGTGCACTCATGAGAGAGAGACAGAAAGAGAGGAAGAGGGAAAGTGAGAAAGCAAGTCACCAGGCTCAGGACTTGAACTGCGGTCAACCATGTAGGAGTTCCAGAGTCCTAACCACCACAGCGTCTGTTGGGCTCCCTCTAATCAGCATTTTTTAAATGTGTGTGTGTTTTTTTTTTTGTTTGTTTGTTTTTTTTTTTTTTAGAAGTTTTTGTTACAGAGCATGTGCGCCCCGAAAACAAGAGGGAAGCAGACAGCAAGAACTCCCCCAGGGGGAATGACCACGCCGCAATACCTTCTCCATTCTCGGAATCTTCGGCATGCATGCACACGCGCCTAGTGTGAGTTTAAGCCACCAGGTCCAGAACTTGAACCATGGTCAACTACATGGGAGTTCAGCGACATAACTATTATGCTAACTGCTGGTCTCTAAAATGTGTTTTTATAAATCTGAACCATGCATTACTTTTTTTTTTTTTTTTTTTTGAGAGGTTTTTGCCATAGGGCACATGCACTCACCAGAAAGACAGAGAGAGACAGACAGAAAGCAAGAAATCACCCCCCAGGGGGCATGGTCATGCCGCCATCCCTTCTCCTTCATTATTTTCTTGGGATCTTGGGCACACATACGCATGTGCCAGGCATGAGTTTAAGCCACGGGGTCTGGGACTCAAATTGCGGTTGACTACATGGGAGTCCAGCAATGTAGCCATTATGCCATCTACTGTTCCCATTACGGGTTATTTTTTTTAATTTTTTTTTTTTTGGGGGGAGAGGTTTTTTTTTTTTTTTTGAGAGGTTTTTGCCATAGGGCACATGCACTCACCAGAAAGACAGAGAGAGACAGACAGAAAGCAAGAAATCACCCCCCAGGGGGGATGGTCACGCCACAATCCCTTCTCCTCCATTCTCCTCTCGGGATCTTGGGCATGCACGCACACACGCCCTGTGTGAGTTTTAAGCCACCGGGTCCGGAACGCCAACCCTGGTCGACTACGTGGGAGTCCAGCGACATAGCCATTACGCTAACTGCTGGTTCCCCCATTACGTATTTTTTTAAAAATTAAATAAATATAAAAATAGTTTCCAGGTTTGTTCTTGTTACTCAGAATGATTTTGGAAAGAGGGCTTGTGTGTGTGTGTGTGTGTGTGTGTGTGTGTGTGTGTGTGACGTAATACTTGAGATAATCAGTTTGCCCAAACAGCTCCTACTGAAAAAGACCCCTGAGTGACTGTTCTGAGATGTCTCATAAAATTGGAGTTTGGAAACTGTAAATTAATTATCAGTAAAAGCTACCTTAATTGATTACCCTAGATGGTTGCTATAGGGCTCTGCTATAAGAGAGGGAAAACTGTACGATTCCTTGGTCGTAGGCTTCCTTGAATTTGTACAATAGAAGCAATTGTTCCTGCTAGAAGTAGGGAACAATCACCAGGAGAAAAAAAGAGAAACTGGTTTCAGAGGAGACTTATCTCTTTTATGCAACAAATTAAGAAAGTGTAAGATCAAAGAGCAGGAGAGAGGCCAGGTGCTGGCTAGAAACTATGTTTTGCAGTAAAAGTTCATGTAATTTGAAGGCATATTCTATAGCTTCTTTGATTATGGTCATAAATCAGCATGGTTTGCTATTGACTGAAGAGAGGTAAGGTCCATTGTTAGATTTCCCTACCCCCTAAAAGTACCATATTATATCATCAATATCTTCTTCAGGGAAAATCATCGAATATTTTCGTAGCATCCCTTTGGTGAACTAACTGGAAATTATAATGTGCATATATACATTTATCTAATATAAAAAGTTTTTATCAACAGCACTTTATATCCTATTGTAAGTCTAGTATTCTGCTGCTCCTCTGTTTATTACAGCTGCAAAGGAAAACATTAGTTTTAACAAAATGATCAAATGTGCATTGCAGGACATTTATCTCCATAATCCAAACATAAAGTGGAATGACATTATTGGACTCGATGCAGCCAAGCGGTTAGTCAAAGAAGCCGTTGTGTATCCTATAAGGGTAAGAATGGGCAGTCTCTTGGGGTTTTTCTTTTCAATATTCCATGGGACAAGCTATATGTGATATACTCATCAGGAAGGGAAGGGCAGGATGATTTTCCATCCCCAAGTTAACTTTTTGCCCCTGTCACAACCCTTTGTCAACACTGGAGCACCAAAGCCTAGTCCATTCTGGGCAATTAAAATCATGTTCCATATTGGTTCAGGGCACATGTCTGCTCTAATGATAATTTAAGATCTGAGGCTCTCTTGTATATATGGTTTATCAGCTATTATAAATTGGTTCAAATTAACCTGCCTCCCTAGAAATATACATACTGTAGTAGAGATACCTTCCATAGGAGAGGGCCTCTCGTTTTGTTTCTGAGATCCTACCCTTGACCCCAACACCTGCATCATCTGAGCCTTTGCTTTTGGCCGATTGTGAAAAGCAGACAGTCCTTTCTACTTCAGTGAGCAGCAGACCCAACACGTTGTGCTCAGTCCTTATTCCTAACGAATCTCTGTGTAGCTCAGGTAGGAACTAGACAGGTAGAAAAATAGAAGGCAATAGTCTCAATGTTTGGTTTACAAATGTGGTGATGAGCAGGTCTGTGTATCACTTAGCTTTTGCTATATGAAATACCACCCCACAACTTAGTGCCTTAAAACAACAATCATTTATTCATTTGTAATTCAGAAGGCAGACAGTTTGGGCTGGGCTCTGCTAGGCTGGTTCATCTATTTTCCACATGGCATTTATTATTGGGTGGGCACAGGCACATGGCTGGAACATCAGACAGAGTGGTAGAAAAGATGGAGAGGCTGGAAAAGTTGGAATAAACAGGACAGCTCTCTCCATAGTCTTGTAGCCTCTTCTTGTTCATGTTCGTGTGGTGATAGAAGGTTAGCAGAAAGAAGTAAAAAAAGAGGTAAATTCTGGACCAGCAGGTGGTATACCGTTAAGGAGGCTGGATCCCACATGGCTGACTCCATGGTTTCAGTCCTGGACTGACTCAGGGATTTGAAAATTATGCCAGGCATGCACGTGTGCCCAAAATCCCAAGAGGAGAGTGGAGAAGGGACTGTGGCATGGCAATCTCCCCTGGAAGGGGCAGTGATTTCTCACTTTCCCTCCCTCTCTATCTCTCCCTCTCTCTGTCTCTCTCCAGCAAGTGCACATGCCTATAGCAAAAACAAAACGAAACAAAAACAAAAAAAAATGGGAAAGTTCTAGTTCAGAAACATTTTTCATGTCTCTTCTTACATTTCTTATACTTGCTAGCCTTATATTTTCAAGTCTCATGTTTACTAATGTCCCATTGGCCAAAATCACAAGGCCAGGCCCAAATTCAAGTATTGAAGAAACAGACTACCTATTGATAGAGCTGAAAATAATTTGTGACCATTTTTTGTAATCTCAGGCAGTCAGGATTACACATTTATTTTGTTGAATAACTGTTTATTCTTACCACTGAATCCATGAATTCTTGATTTTTTAGTCTTTTTATTCCAAGGACACAAAATCAATAAATCTGGATTATCCTTTTCTCCTCTTTCTTTCTGTGTTCAGACCTGATGCTAAGAAATAAATATATTGATGTTCACAATTATAGAAGTGCACTCACCTTTTCCTCTAAGTGAAACAGCACAAAACTTAAAAGTTTTTTTATTGCCAGAGAGCATATGTGTTCACCAGAGTAAGACAGAGAGAGGGAGAAAGCATGCCCCAGTGTGGGGTGGTCATGCCTCAATCCATTCTCTTCCATTTCTCTGTTCTGTGGGAATGTGGGGCAGGTGCATACACTTGGGGTGTTTTTCAAGCTTCCAAGGCTAGAACTTGAACTGCAGACAGCCATGTGAGATCCAGTTCCCTTAATCACTGTGCCATGGGGCCAGCCCAGCACAAAACTTTTAGAAAGGATAGAACATCTCATAGAAACCCTCTGGATGTGACATTGCCATGGGGTTATCACATGATTCCTTATGTGATAATGTTGCGATTTAGCATCAGCATTAACATGAAAAGAAGAGCTAGTTGTATTATTATAGCTAGTTCTATTATTTCTCCTCCTCCACTTTTCCCCTAATTTTCATTGTTTGAACTTGGGAGGTGGGGTGGTTCCTCCCTTTCCCTCTCATTGTCTCTGTCTCTCTCTTTGGCAACCACAAGAGCCCTATGGCAAAAACCTCTTAAAAAAATAAAAAAGAAGCCAAAAGAAATAAGTCAGGCCTTATCAAGTGTAAAATTAAATGAGGAAAAATAAGATTTATGCAGTCACAGCAAACTTAAAAAAGAATGCCTTGAATCTTAGAGTTATGCCTTTCTTCATTCTAGCTTTATTAGCTGGCCTGCACTAAGGATGTGATGTCTGGTGTATTGATAGCAAACCTCTTCATTGTTCTTTGTTCCCATAGTATCCACAGCTATTTACAGGAATTCTTTCTCCCTGGAAAGGACTGCTGCTTTATGGCCCTCCAGGTAAGCGCATCTTCCTGTTTGGACTTGGTATTAAATGTGTGTACAGAGGACGAGATGTCCCCTTCTGTTTTCACTTCAGGACAGGGACAAGTGAAAGCTGAATAACCACTTCCTTTTCATGTGAGACTTGACTTCTGCCTGTAAGCAGAAGAATGGAGTTTAAATACCTGCTCAAATTTTATCCACATGTCTCTAGGTACAGGAAAAACTTTACTGGCCAAAGCTGTGGCTACTGAATGCAAAACAACCTTCTTTAATATTTCTGCATCCACCATTGTCAGCAAATGGAGAGGGGATTCAGAAAAACTTGTTCGGGTAGGAATTTCTAATTTTGTTTTTTAAACAGTAAGCCTAGCAGAATGTGGTGGTATGAAATAACATTAGAGCTTATTTGTTTTTAAGTAATTAATATATTAGATTTTATCCTGGATCTTGCTTACCAAAACCTAGGTTGACTATTATGTGTGGATTAGGCCCCCATCAGCAATCTCCCTTCTTTTGATAATTTGACTAACAACCCTCTTTGATTCATGCAACTTGGGAATAGAAGCTGGAAAAAGAGTTGTCTCTGAAGTGGCCTATTTTTTCTTTTTCAATTCAAGAAGCATTTAATATTAAGAATGTATAGTGTATTTAGTTAACATTTATCAAGAGGCTATTACTGTGGGTTAGAATCAAGAAACTTAAAACTTAATCATTCTTTTAGATGTTCAGAGCAACTTTTCCTCCTTGGTGCTCATAGCCTATAGGGCTTTTTTTCTTCCTTAAGAGATTATTTCCATCTTTACAATATTTCATTAATAGTCTCTAAATTTTTTACATTGTAAAATTTTACTGTATCTTCCATTTACCTTAAGAGAACATGAGTTTAAGATTTATGTCTCGTAGACCCAGAAAGAATGTTCTTCTCAGGAATCCTGTTAAATTACTGCATTCTGTAGAATGACTGATATATAATCAGTACTAAGTAAATATAAAAGTTATATATTTTCTCTAAAGAAATTTTCCTAAATTATTATGCTTAAATTATATTCCTTGGGCGACTCATTTCCAAAATATTGTGGCCTATTTGGAAGTCATAAAGAATATTTTTAAAGGATGATTTACCTAAAATAAGCCATTCTTATTACTTAGGTATTGTTTTCAAGTTGTTTCATATATGTAAATTTTTTAAAAAGTTAATTACTCCATGGGAACCAGCAGTTAGTGTAATGGCTATGTCACTGGACTCCCACGTAGCCGACCGCGGTTTGCGTCCCGGACCCGGTGGCTTAAAACTCACGCCGGGCGCGTGTGCGTGTGTGCCCAAGATCCCAAGAGGAGAATGGAGGAGAAGGGATTGCGGCGTGACCATCCCCCCTGGGAGGAGATTTCTTGCTTTCTGTCTCTATGTCTCTATGTCTCTCTGTGTCTGTCTGGCGAGCGCACGCACCCTATAGTGAAAATCTCTCCAAAAAAAAAAAAAATTAATTACTCCTTCAAGGTTGTAATTTGTGTGGGTTGGGAGGTTGTACAGTGGTTAGGGTTCTGGACTCCCACATGGGTGAGTGTGGTTTGAGTCCTGCTTTTCACTTTCCCTTTCTCTCTCTCTGGTCAAATTAAAAAAAAAAGATAATAAATAATTATTTTTTTAAAAAAAGATTGTAATTTGTGGAAATATTTGTTGATATCTTCTATTTCTTTGTTCTTTATCTTGAATCTAACTCAGTGCCAGGTCCAAAGGTGGGGCTTGAATTTAACTGCTCCAGCATTTGTGGTTTTCATGTGATTCTAGTTAGTGGATTTCAGTGAACTACAGTTCTTATTTGGCTGAAGACCTTTTTTTTTTAATTTTTAAAAATTAAAAAAAATAATTTTTTCATTTATTAATTTTTTTTTTTCACATGAGTTTGCCATAGAAGGACAGAGAGAGAGAGGGAAAGGTAGAGTGAGAAAGCAAGTCACTGTGTCCAGGACTTGAACCATGGTCAGCTATGGGGGAAGTCCAGTGCCTAAACCACCATGCCACCTGCTGACCCCGAAGACCTTTTTTTTAATATTACATTTTTTGTGTGCTGAATAACAACAAAACTCTTAAAATATGTCCCTGATATTCAGTTTACATTTATCTCCTATCATGAAAAATGGTATTTAGAACCATGAGCACAAGATACTGCAAGGTGCTTAAAAGAAAGATCATATACTTCCTGGACAGGACTTTCTAGGCAGAAGAATAATTTCAGATATTTTACAAATATTCTTTTTCTCTTTTTTCGGAGAGATTTTTGCTATAGGGTGAATGCATGCACCAGAGAGACAGAGACACAATGCAAGAAATCAACCCCTAGGGGATGGCCACATTGCAATCCCTTCTCCTCCATTCTCCTCTCGGGATTTTGGGCACCCACACATGCATATGCACCCAGCATGATCTTCAAGCCCCCGGGTCTGGAACTCAAACCTCTTTTGGCCATGTGGGAGTCCAGCAATGTAACATTATGCCATCTGCTGGTCCCTTTTACAGATATTCTTAAAAGATTGAAGCTAAATGGGCTATTTTATTTATTGTTCAAGCTAGAAAAATCAATAAACAAGATTCTATGTGAGAATTTTATTTAACTAAAGTTTTCCTGTTTCAATACTATTTTGTTAAAATTCTTTTTTCTTTTTTTTTTTTGGAGAGGTTTTTGCTATAGGACTCCTGTGCTCACCAGAAAGACGGAGACAGAGAGACAGAAAGCAAATTGCTCCCCAGGGGGTATGGTTGTAATCCCTTCTCCTCCATTTTCCTCTCCTTGGGTTTTGGGCACGCACATACATGTGCCCAGCATGACTTTCAAATTTCCAGGTCCAGAACTTGAACTGTGGTTGACCATGTGGGAATCTAGCGCCTTAACCACTATGCCATCTGCTGGCCCCAAAAAGTAAGCAGTTTTTTTGGAGAAAAAAGTATAATAGACTCTGAGCCCTGTCCTCAGAAGCAACTACTATTAACAGTTGCAGGCGTGGCCTTCTAGAACCTCCATCTACAATATAGCTACATTAATATCAAAAACTGTATTTATGTCACTTTTCCTTTTTAAGCACAGGTAGGAACATACTACATATCCCCTTCTGTAAAGTACCTTTCTATTTTCGCACTTAATATAGTTTGGGTATTGTCCCACACCATTGTAGATAGAAAGAATACATTCTTTCACATGTCTACATGGTATTTTATTGCATGGATGTACCAAAATGTATTTAACCAGTCTTTTCTCGATGAGCACTTATGTTATTTCTGGTTTCCGGCTATTATGAACAAAGTTATAGCAGACAGTCTTACTCCATACGTATGTTGTAAATATTTTTCATGTACAGTAATGTAGATATCTATAAAGTAGAATTGCTAGGTCACTAGGCCAGCAGGTGGCATGGGGATTAAGGCACTGGATTCCCACATGACTGATTGTGATTCAAGTTCCAGACCTAATGGTTTGAAAATCACAACAAATAAATAGATAAATGAATAAATAAATGTTTAAAAAAACAAATAAAAAGAATTGCTAGGTCAGAAGGAATGAACATCTCTGATTGCCAAATTGCTTGTAATAGGGTTTACAAACTATACCAATTTACAATCCCATTAGTGATCTGTGAGTGTGTTTGCTCCTTGACCCCTAGTCAACAAATGCATAGTAGCAAAAAAAAAATTTTTTTTTTTGAATCTTGCCAATCTGATAGTGAAAAATAGTATTTCAGGGATTGAATGTGCCCTTCAATATTTCAATGCTTGAAGATGCACTTCTTTAATTCTGAGCAAACATAGGCATCATTTTTTTTTTTTTTTGGAGAGGTTTTTCACTATAGGGTGCATGGGCTTGCCAGACAGACAGAGAGAGACATAGAGACAGAAAGCGAGAAATCACCCCCCAGGGGGGATGGCCACACCGCAATCCCTTCTCCTCCATTCCCCTCTCGGGATCTTGGGCACGCACGCACACGCGCCCGGCGTGAGTTTTAAGCCACCGGGTCCAGGACGTGAACCGTGGTCGACTACGTGGGAGTCCAGCGACATAGCCATTACGCTAACTGCTGGTTCCCAACATAGGCATCTTTCATAGGTTTAGAAGATGCTTGTACTTTTTTCTGCGAAATGCATTTTTAGTTTAGGTACTTTAATAAAATAATTGAAGAAAAAAGACAACCACTAGTTACCTTGTAGGTTCTCATCTTATTTCCTTTCAGGAATTACTTAATTTTCTGGAAAAAGCCTCAGCTGACAATTCTTGGTCATGCTGTCAAGCTCTTTACCATGAAGCTTTTGGATAAAGAAAGCCCTTCTGGACCTTCCCCTAAATCAGAGAAGCTTTTTCTACCTTTTGTTTTTCTTTCTACTCCAATTAAGGAGTTATTTATAGAGAACCCTTGGGTTCTGTTCCTCCCTCCTCTCCTAATGTTCATGCCTTTTAGAAGTTGATGCTATTGAATAGTTGAGTGGTCTCTTTAGCAAATGCATACACCTGTTGATGCTTACATCTTTGAACACCCGACCCCCAATTGTATGATTTAACTTCCTCCAAGTACCTCTAAAATTTTTAGATTAATGCTTCCAGAAGCACTTACCCAAGATTCTATATATTCTCTGGAAATGGAAAGAACAATGGCATGGGTAATATGGAGACCTAGGCTCCAAATGAGGCTCTTCTTCCAATTGGGTGTTTGGTTTAGTAGAGGCTCCTGGTCTCTCTAAACCTTACTGAACGCCTTAAAAACATGTCTGGTTCTAAGCATAGGGTTCTAATATTCCAGTTTTCACTGGGCAGATTGCCACTGTTGTGTGTTGTGTTTCTTTTTGTGACAATGAAGATGAATACCTTTAAAATTAAGTGTTCTCTATTGTTATCTAAAGGCATTTGTTGTGAGTGTCTCAACACTGCCATTGTTCTCTCAGCTCCTTAGACTCAGACATTATTTCAATAAAACAAGATTCTTGAAAGGAAAATTCTTGTCTGTGAGTTTGGATGTGTGGCTCTGGGGAAGATGGAGGACTTCCCAGATGGTGACTGGGAAGCTGCTGGTAACCTGCTGCTCACATGAAACCACAACCTGGCTCTTCCTGTCCTTAGTCTCTTATTTGTTCTGTGATGCTTTGCTAGTGCTAAGTGACACGAAGAATAAATCCCCCATGTCTATTAAAGAATCTCTATTCTTTTCTAAATCTCTACTGCTTTCTCTGATCACCAGTGAAGAATTGTATATGGTGCTCAAGAGAGTGGTTTCCAGGGTTAAAAAGAAAACAAAAAAAAAGGTGTAGGTTTTTATATTCTTTTCATTACCACCACATTTCCCTTTAGGCTCTTTATTGTGTTGTTATATGTCTGTTCTTTTGCTGGTTGCTTTCCTGTTCTTGTTCAGTCTATGTTTTATTTTGGAATGGAACACCTTAGTCAATCAGGAATTACCTTTAAGTACTTGAGTCTATAAGCTATAGTGTTGAGGTAGCCTGGGGACCTCATGGAATAATTTGGGGACCAGAAAAGGGCAAGATTCTTTAGTCTCATTACCCATGACTGGAACTCTACCCTTCCCCTGCAGTTCTTCCTTCTGAAACGCTACCCTTTCCTAGCAGTTCTTCCTTCTGAAACGCTACCCTTTCCTAGCAGTTCTTCCTTCTAAGAATCTCCCCATCTCCTGCCCCATTAGGGGACAATTAGTGGGAAAGTCATCAAATGATTTTACATATTCCAAGGCTTTTGTGGCCATATAGAACATGTTATTGGCAGGGTATTTTAGGGATTAACTGGTCTACTGGAAGCGTGAGAACTGAGTTTTATCTTAAGCTCTCCCATTCATTATTAGTAACCTTGACCTATTCCACTACTTTCTCTAGCTCTAAATTGTTTTTGAGAGGTTTTTTTGCTATAGGACATGTGCACTCACCAGAAAGCCAGAGAGAGACAGAGAGACAGAAAATCACCCCCCTGGGGGGATGGCGATGCCGCAATCCCTTCTCCTCCATTCTCCTCTTGGGATCTTGGGCACACACACACACACACACACACACACACGCCCGGCGTGAGTTTAACCCACCCGGTCTGGGATTCGAACTGCGGCCAACTACATGGGAATCCAGTGACATAGCCATTATGCCAACTGCTGGTCCCTCTCTGGCTCTAATTTTATCAAGTGATAAATGTAAATAATTGGACCATCCAACCCCATGAGTGACAATAGGGAGAAATAGTTGTAATGATTATAAAGTTACTGTGAAACAACAGAGTGTAGCATAAATGCTTATTATTATAGTATTCTAAACGTTAATATCTGGTAGCATCTGAGGACTTTAATTTAAGCCTATGAATATGAACACATGCTTGCTTTCCCTCCACCCAGGTGTTATTTGAACTTGCCCGCTACCACGCCCCCTCCACAATCTTCCTGGATGAGTTGGAGTCGGTGATGAGTCAAAGAGGCACGGCTCCTGGGTAATAGACAGGGTTTTTTTTTTTTTTCTTTTTCTTTTTCTTTTTGGTCATCATTTCTCCCCTCTTGTAAGTGTGTTTGATGGTCGGAAGCCCATCGACATTTACCAGCAGAATGAGCCTATTAATAAGCCCACAAATTTTCTGCAGACACACGGAAAGGTCTTTAAATTAGATCCTGTTAACTGAATAGCTGATTTAAGTAGTTTTTATAACCGGAGGAAATGTCATCCTCCCTTCCCCCCCTTCCCCACAGAGTGGTTTTCAGGCCTGAAGATCATCCAGCCCCAGGATCCCACACTGCCATAACCCTTGTGCTGGCTCAAAATAGCTGCCTGTGACGGCTCCTCTGGAGCCAGAGGGGCTGCCTGTGGGGAACAGGGCTTGCCTGCTTGGCCACTGCAAAGGGCCAAGTTCATCTTTCACTCCCAGGAGGCAGTCCTGGGTGGTGTGTGAGGCCAGGGAAGCCACCGCTTCTCTGTGACATCAGGCTATGGCTTAGCATGTCCGATTTTAAATATGTCACATTTCTTATCTCTAATGACTAAATGTAGGCTAATGCTCCCAGCAGGAAGGAACACTTCTCAGGCAGTACTAAGCCTTCTGTTTGTGGTTCCAAAAAGCCACATGGTGTTTTGTGTGTGTGTGTGTGTGCGTGTGTGCGTATTGGGGGGAGGGTATTTTTAGATGGGGTCATACAATGTGGTGATTCTCCTGTCTCAGCCTTCGGAGGAGATGGGACTACAGGCCCGTGCTATTGTGCTGGCTTCTTTTAGGATATGCTAGAAATTGAACCTGGGCCTCAGCCTTCTAAGCAGCAGCGTTTAGCCCATGCTATAATGGTTGGGCCTGTTTGCTTATTTTCAAGACTCACTGTGTCTTGATCAGAGGAATTTCTCTTTGAAACTTTTTATTAAATTTGGCACTCTTGCCATGAAAAGAAAAACAAAGATCACTAGGAAATCTCTAGCTGCATTTATTAATGATCTTTATCATCAAGTCAGAACTAATAGTAACAAAAATAAAATAACTGGCTTATTAGAAGTATAAATGGAATATAATTTGTGAAATTTTACTCATTGGAACCCATTTTCTCAGTAGGAAAAAACAATCAATATAGGATTCACACAATTGATTGACATGGGACAGTTTCCATGGCTCATCTGGTGCTTGTCATCCTCAGGGTAGAGCACTCTGCCTCCCTAGACCTGACAGGAACAGTCAGTTAACTACACAGGCACCAGCTGGGTATCCACAGACCAGCTAGTCATTCCCTCTGCTGAGACCAGGCCCTGCCTAGCCTGTGCATTCATTCTTACATTTGCTTCATCAGTCTCTATCCCCAGGCTTGCTTGAGCTATTTAGGAAACTCTGCATCAGCTACCTTTGAGTAGGTAGAATCTGAATCTGGAACCTGAAGACTCTAAAACTAGGGTCTTCAAAGGGCTAGCAAATAAGAGTAGGTGCTCTGAAGACTTCTTAGATCATAAGACTATTTAAAGAATTATAATTAAGGGCAAATGCTAAATAAATTCATAACTATATTGTGAGAAGAGTGAAGACACTTTCACAGGATAGTGGAGGGCATAGATCCTAAAAAACCTTACACCTAATTTGGGTAGCACTACACATGCTTAGACAGAAGTTGAATGTTATACTGTCCAAGAAAGGCAACATCATCATTATATTCATTTATTCCCCTTCTGTTATTTTCTGTGAAGAAATTATACCACATAGCTTATTTTTGCTAATGCTAGTACAAGTGGCTCCATTGGCTATTGAGTTTAAGCCACTGGGTCCGGGACTCAAACCACGGTTGACTACATGGGAGTCCAGTGACATAGCCATTATGCCAACTGCTGGTCCCACCACTGGCTATTGAAATGGAACCTGTTCTGCAGTCCCAGGGTCAGTGCTGTGAGTGCCACTTCTGTCATGAGAGTGAAGGCTCTGCCCTTGGAAAAATCATGTTTGTTTGTTTATCTGCAGGGGGGAACATGAAGGAAGCCTTCGGATGAAGACGGAGCTACTGGTACAGATGGATGGGCTGGCGCGCTCAGAAGATCTCGTGTTTGTTTTAGCAGCTTCTAACCTGCCATGGTAAGAGATCAAGAGAGAACATTTTGAATACATTTTCATGAGCCACTGAGTAGGGATGAAAATTTTAATTTGACCGCTTCAGGTAAAGCCTCATTTAGTTCTAACCCTAGAAGATTAATTTGAGGGTTTTACTGTGCAGATCCCCAGTCCTTGCTCTCTATACTGTGAAAGATCTGCTTGAATAGAGAGAATACACGTCAGACTGCTACTTACAGTATTTTAAATGGACATGTTTTGGCCTAGCTGTGTTGGCACATGCTGCTAAGACACTGTATTCTGCAGGCTGGGGCCACATGAAAAGCTTGAGTTGATATCCAGTCCCACCTAAAGGTTGGGTGTGGTTGCATGCTCCTGTGGTTCCAGCAACTCAGGAGGCTGAGGCAGGATTGCAAGCTTAAGGATGGTCTGGGCAACATAGTGAGATCCTGTCTAAAAAAAAGCTGGGCGTGGTGGTGCCTGCCTGTATTCCTAGTTACTTAGGAAGGCTAAAACAAAACAGGAAGATCTGACATGGCAAGATCCTGTCTAAAACAAAATAAAACAAACAAACAAAAAAAACAATGAAACTACAAAGGGATATTTTAAGTTTAAATCCAAATAATATGCTATGTTTAAATTAAAAAAGGGCTAGGGCCAGCAAATGGCATGGTGGTTAAGGCACCAGATTCCCACATGACTGACCGTGGTCTGAATCCCTGACCCAGTGACTTGAAAATCACACCAGGCACGTGTGTGTGTGTGTCCAAAATCCCAGGAGGAGGATGGAGGAGAAGGGACTGTGGAATGGCCATTTCTCTTGGTAGGTGATTTCTCACTTTCCCTCTCACTATCTTTCTCTCTCTCTGGTGAACACACACGCCCTATGGCAAAAGCCTAAAAAAAAAAAATAATTAAACAGGGTTTTGGCATTGCAGGATAAAATGCTTAAAATCTCCAAGACTTGAATAATATTCCAGAAATAATATGTTCGAATTTTATCAGTATTAAAATTGAACATTTTTTATATTAGGAGGAAAATCTTTTATTTAATGCTGCACAGTAAATAGGAAGCTAGATAATCTCTAATTGAAAATATAATCTACTCTTAGAGTCTTTTATTCAAACTATATCCCAGAGTGGTTTAAGAACAATTCTAGAAGTAAAACTGGGAAATAAGAGATATTGGGTAGGGGAAGACAATATGTACTTGGAGAGTATGTTTAAAAATTAATTATAATCTCTTTATAGTTCTAAGACTATTTCCATATACATTCTTTCTTTTGAGCTACAGGTGAGGAAGGAGAAAAAATATAGTAAATGTAACTTTTTCCATTCTCAGAGAGGAACGAAGGCAGAGTGGTCAACCCACCCAAAGTCAACAGCAATCTTGTAACAGGGTTGGGACTTGTGACACCTTCCTCGCACCCATTTGTTTTTCCACCTTGAAAGAGGAAAAGAAAAATCTTCCTTGTGTAGTGCATGCTGATCACCTGGGCTCCCAAACCAAACATCACTGAAAAGAAATCATAATGTTCATGTGTATCTCAGTTCCTTTTCTGTTGCCGTATCAGAATACCAGACCAGGTCATTTATGAGGAAAAGTTTATCGGCTCATGGTTCTAGGGGCTAGGAAGTCCAAGGGCATGATAGCATCTTCTAGCAAGAACCTTTATACTGGAACATAACTCATAGGAGGGTATCATGTGCAAGAGAGGAAGAGAGACAGAGAGAGCTCGCTTTGTAACGAGCCACTCCTGTGATAACAAACCCACTCCCATCATAGCAACATTAGTCCATTCATGAGGGCAGAGATTAAGTTTCCAATGCATAAACTTTTGTGGGACACATTCAAATTATAGCAATGTATAATATATTAAGTTTATTTATGATTTAAACCTGGCTCTTCTTCCCCTCAAATTTATGACTTTTTCTACTGTGCTTAGGCGAATAGCCTTTTACATTTTGAAGATACAGGTATGTATATACACTATTGAAATGGAGTCCAAGAACCATAATTTAAATGTGCTTGTGAAAACCTTAGGGAAAGAATCTGTTCTTTCAGGAGAAATGGCTGATCTTAAGCACTTTACTTGTGCCCTAGGGTGACTATGAGGGTCAGCTGAGTGGGTTTGAGGCTGTAAAGCTGTGAGCAGGAGTGTGAGAAGGTCTGTACCAGGAAGAACTGCATATTTTCTAAAAGACTAGAGGGCCCTCCACTGCCAGTGAATACCTAGGAGTTTGCTAAGGAGATTATCGTGCTCCTCAATTTCCCTACGACCCAAATATTGGGTCATTGGAAAAGACATGACACATTTTTGCATAGAAAAATATGTTATGACTTTTCTGATGATCCAATAAAATGGTTCACAGAGGTCAAAAAAAAAAAAAAAGGCAAGACAAAGCAAAAAACAAAACTGACAAAAAGTAAAGAAATTTAGAAGGGCTTTTCCAAAAACAATTGCTTCTCAACATGTTGGTGGGCAAACACATCTGTGCTTTTGTGCTTGGGATTCCATCACTCTTGAAACCAATATGTTCTTCTTTTTTTTTTTTTTAAAGAATTACTTATTTTATTTTACTTATTATTCTTATTTTTAATTTATTATAGGGGCAAGCGCTCACCAGAGAGAGAGAGAGACAGACAGACAGCAAGCTGCCAGGTCTGGGACACAAACTGCAGTCGGCCACGTGGGAGGCCAGCACCTCAACCACCATACCACCTACTGAAACCAGAACCAACATGTTTTAACTAATATTCCTCAGTATTGCTACTATTTTAAAAACTTTTTATTATGAAAAATTGCATAGAAATACTAAAGAAGGGAAAACAGCACGATGAACTCACCATTTCCCAGTTTCAGTAACCAACCTCTTGCCAGATTCATTTAATCCATTCTAGCCTCTACCACCACTTGTTTGCTTTAGAATCTTAAGTCATATTTAATTGTCATGTTATATGTTAAATGGACACTTCAACATACATCTCAAAAAAGGGACAGTTTCTTAGTTACTATAGTGCCAACAAAATTAATAGTAATTCCTTATCATCTAATATCCACTTTATACTCAGCTTTCCTATATTATTTTAAAAATGTCTTTTTACAATCTATATATTGAATAAGCCTTTCACTTTATAATCAATAGGTTTCCTAAATCTCTTTTTATCCCCCCCCCCAACACACACACACACACACACACACACACACACACTTGCCATTGACTAGTTGATTGTCCAGAAGATTGTCCTGCAGGACGTCTAAACTTTCCAGAGCTGGCTCATTGTGTCTTCGTGGTAGCAGTTAATTTTTTCTTCATACCCCTATCATTACTCTAGACGGAAAGTTGATTGATTGGATTGATGGGCCAGTCTATGAGGAGCCAATTTTTTTTTTGGCAGACGTGTTTCATAGGTGTTGCGGTATACATCTCGTTCCATTATGTCTGGTGTTTGTAAAATCTTGTTGCCTCACTTTTGGTGATGCCAAGACGAACTGGAGGGCTCAGGAGTATCAGTCTGGCTCCTCGGTCAGACAATTCTATCAGTGGTTTTAGCACTCGTTGATGACTTTGCCGATATCCGTTATTTCACTAGGTGTGTGATTCTGTCTATCTTCCTGATGGTTGTGTAATAGAACTTCTCCTCATCCAGTAGGATTATTTGGTGACCCTAAAAAACTAGAAAAGCTGGATTTTTTTCTCTTTCATTTTAGAGTCATGAGCTGGTGCCTTAACAACCCTTGGTGGTGAGCAGTGGACATTTTTTTTTCTTGGAGAGGTTTTTACTATAAGGCACGTGCACTCCCCAGACTATAAGACAGAGAGAGACAGAAAGCGAGAAATCACCCCCCAGGGGGGATGGCCACGCTGCAATCCCTTCTCCTCCATTCTCCTCTTGGGAGAATGCACGCACACGTGCCTGGCGTGAGTTGAAGCCACCGGGTCCAGGACTCGAACCACAGTCGACTACGTGGGAGTCCAGCAACATAGCCATTATGCCGACTGTTGGTCCCAGTGAGCAGTGAATTTTGTCTGCAGTGCTTTCCCTCTCTCTCTCTTTGTATGTGTGTGTGTGTGTGTGACCATGATTTCATGGCTTATTTAGTACAACCCCAATAATTTTTTTTCTGTAGGTACATTTGCTCCCTGAAGAGAGAGAGAGAGAGAGAGAGAGAGAGAGAGAGGAGAGGGGGCAAAATAAAAAATCATCCCCCAAGGCGGATGGCTGTGTTGTAATCTCTTCTCCATTCTCCTCTTAGGATTTTGGGCACATATGCACGTGCTCCTGGTGTGATTTTTAACTGCTGGTTCGGGACTTGAAGCACGAAGTCAGTCATGTGGGATCCAGCCACCTTAACCTCCACACCACTTGCTAGCCCTAAAACTTTATCTTTTGTGGTCAGTAGTGGCATAGCAGTTATGTTGCTGGACTCCCACATGGCCAATCGCAGTTTGAGTCCTAGACCCAGTGGCTTGAAACTCACACCAGGCACGTGTGTGTGTGTGCCCAGGATCCCAGGAGGAGAATGGTGAAGAAGAAATTGGGCATGACCATCCCCCTAGGGGGTGATTTCTCACTTTCCCTCTGCTTCTGTCTCTCTCTCCCTAGCAAGCACACCTGCCATAAGGCAAAAACCTCTAAAAATAACTTATTGGGACTAGAAGAGGGCATAATGGTTATGTCACCGGACTCCCACATGGCCAATTGCAGTTCTAGTCCCAGACCTAGTGGCTTGAAACTCATGCCAGCTGTGTGTGCATGTGTGCCCAAAATCCTGAGAGGAGAAGGGATGACCATCCCTCCAGGGGGTGATTTCTCACTTTCTGTCTCTCTGTTTCTTTTTGTCTCTCCAGTGAGCGCATGCACCCTGTAGCAAAAACCTCTCTCTAAAAAATTATCTTTTAATACATATATATATATATATATACACACACACACACACACACATATATATATATATATTTAATTGCCAGAAGACATGTGTGTTCACCAGAGAGGAAGGAAAGGAATGAGACAGAGAGAG